AGCAGCCCCAGCAGCCCCAGCAGCCGCAGCAGCCCCAGCAGCAGCAGAGCAGCAGCAGCAGCAGCAGCAGCAGCAGCAGCAGCAGCAGCAGCGCAGCACGCGGCCCGCGTGCGTGGCGCAGGAACTCGCGGTCTCGCGGCTGTTCTCCATTATGAGCGCCAGCGAGTTCATTTTTGCTGCTGCAGCAGGAGTGGTTTTGGATGCTGTGGGGCCGAAGGCAGCAGCAAGTGTGGGGTGTTTGATGGCGCTGCTGGGGTGGCTGCTGCTGGGGCTGGGCAGCAGCAGCAGCAGCAGCAGCAGCAGCAGCAGCAGCAGCAGCGGCAACATGTTTGCTGCTGCTGCGGTGCTGCTGGGCGGCAGCTCGGAGATGTGCTTCTACCCGCTGCTGTCTGCTGCTGCGCTCTTCCCCAGCAGCAGCAGCACAGTCTTGTCGCTCTTCGGAGCAGCAAGAAGCATTTCTTTGCTGCTGCCGATTCTTTTGAGAATTCTTTTTATTCATTTTAATTTCTTTTCTTTCCGAACTCTTTTGCTGCTCTTTGCATGCGCCGGACTCGGCTCCTGCCTCCTCCTCGCCCTCTTCTTCATCCCCTACAAGCCCTTCCCCCCGCTGCAGCAGCAGCAGCAGCAGCAGCAGCAGCAGCAGCAGCAGCAGCAGCAGCGGGAGGAGCAGCAGGAGTGCGGCGGGAGCGTGGAGCTGGAGGTGGCGGGTTCGTGCGTTCCCGCAGCGAAGCCGGGGTCGAAGCCCGCAGCAGCAGCAGCAGCAGACGCAGCAGCAGACACAGCAGCAGCAGCAGCAGCAGCAGCAGCAGCAGCAGCAGCGCCGTTTTTGGCGGAGCTGCTGCAGCCAACCTTCCTGCTGATGGCTGCTGCTTACATCCTCATGATCTTCAACTTGATGTTCTTCGTGCCTTCCACGCAGCACTTAATTCCCGCAGCTTACGCAGCAAATCAGCTGCTGCAGGTCTTTTCTTTTTTGCCGTGTCCGCTGCTGGGTTTTGCTGCTGACAAAATCGGCATTCTTGCTGTTGTCCACTTCCTCAATTGCTGCTGCTGCCTCAACTACCTCTTCGTGCTGCTGCCCCGCATCCCCACCTTCCCCGTGCTGCAGTACCTCGCCGCCGTTTGCTGCGCCCTCCAGGTCCCCTGCTGCTGCTGCTGCTGCTGCTGCTGCGCTGCTGCTGCTGCTGCTGCTGCTGCTGCTGCTGCTGTTGCTGCTGCTGCTGCTGCTGCTGCTGCTGCTGCTGCTGCTGCTGCTGCTGCTGCTGCTGCTGCTGCTGGTGCTGGTGTGCTGCTGCTGCTGCTGCTGCTGCTGCTGCTGCTGCTGCTGCTGCTGCTGCTGCTGCTGGAGGTGTCTGTGCGTGGGTGCAAAGAATAGTGAGGGTTTAGTTTTGCTGCTGCTGAGATGGCATTTTTGTGAAAAAACTGCTGCTGCTGCTGCTGCTGCTGCTGCAGGTTTCGTTCATGAGCTCGCAGCTGTACTGCTACGGGAGCCGCTACTTCTCGCAGCAGAACATGGGGAGACTAATTGGAACAACATTTTGTTTGGCGGGACTTTTGTCTCTTTTGACAAACTTGATGAGGGAATATGCACTAAAAAGGAGTTTTGCTCCGATGTGTCTTCTTGCAATTTCTTTGTCCTTAGTTGCTGCTGCTCTGGTCTGTTTGCTGCAGTGTTTGGACCGCCGGGGGGCCCTGGGGCCCCCCCGGGTTGCAGCAGCAGCAGCAGCAGCAAAAAAGGCGAAGCTGCAGCAGCAGCAGCAGCAGCAGCAGCTGCTCGAGCTGCAGCGCATTGAAACCTGCAGCGAGCCCCACAGACCCACAGATGCAGAAGAAACCGAAGTCAATAAAGAAGGTTAAATAAATAATAAATAAATAATAAATAAATAATAAATAAATAATAAATAAATGAATAAATAGATAAATAAATAAATAAATAAATAAATGATCTGTTTGTGAATAGGGATGTTTTCAACTGGTCGGGAGCTGCGCCCAGTCTTCAGGTCTTCGGAGTTCTTTATTTATTTATTTACAATTTATTTATAGTTCACTTTGTTTGTTTGTTTGTTTGCAAAGTTTATTCATTTATTTATTCATTTATTTATTTGTTTATTTATTCATTTATTTATTTTTTATTCATCAATTTCCCATTTTAATGCTTTTTTGTACTCGCTGCATGCGCGGCCCCCGAAAGTAGAACAGAGAGAAATAAAAGAAAAAAAATAATCAAACAAATAATAAAACAAATAAACAACAAATAAACAACAAATAAAAAACAAATTAGACTCAACTTAGAGTGAGCCTCTTTACCAGTTCAGCCAGCCCAGACTCTGAGGTGTACGTACACCCGAACAGGACCCCCTTCGAATTTCGAGAAAAATCGCTCAAATGAAAAAACAATTGCATGCAGCGCCTTCTCTTTTTCATTTATCGAAATAATTGCATTTATTTTCCCAAAAGATCAGATTTAAGGGAGAAATTGCGTCAAAAAAATCGGGTCTTGACGCTTCAGAGTGCCGGGCGTGCATGCGCTTTCGGGTGTACGTACACTGCAGACTTGCATGCACCTCTCAGCGCCGTTTAGTCGATTTTTTTCGAAATTTTCAGAAATAAATGCATTTTCTTTTGGCCAGATTAAAATACTTGCAAACTTTTGCATTTTAAACGCAATTTGGGCACATTTAAGCCTGCATTTCTTCGTTTTGAGGTGTTTCTTGAAGTGCGCAGCCCAGGGCGTTTTTCCTGAATTTCGCAGCGACAAATAAATCCATTATAGCCGTCCGCCGCTTATTTATGCATTTAAGAACTTTAAATTGGCTATATTAGTGCAATAAATGCTTTAAATTGATGTAAATAAATGCATGTTTCATTTATTTTGTCATTTGAAAACAATGTACACTTCAACATGCATTTGTTCCGCTGTATAGACGCCGCGCATGCTGTCTCGGGGTAAAAACGCAAAAAGTCCATTTCTGCGTTTTTTCTTTTTGCAAAAGGATAAATTCATTTTATTTAAATAATTATATTTCTTTCGAGGCCTTTTATCCATTTAATGGCTTTTATTTTGCATGCAAAAATGTAAAAGTTCACTTTTGAAACATTTCGGTGAAAATGTGAAAAAACACTTTTCTCTTTTGTACAGACACCAAAAAATAAAAAGTGAACAAATAAGTAATAAATAAATAAAAAAATGAATAAATAAACATATAAATATATAAGTAAATAAATAAGTGTACATAAATAATTAATCAAATCGGCAAGTAAAGGCATTAAATCGTGTAGAGGCCTTTTTGAAAAGAAAGAATAAAACAAACAAAAACAAATATTCAAAAATGAGTTTCAGGCTCTTATTGGCTCTTTGTTTCCGGAACTAATTAATTAATTAATTAATTTATCTATATCTGTTTTAATATTTTTGCCTAATCATTTATTATTTACTATTTATTTTATTTATTTATTTATTTATTTATTTATTATTTCTCTTTGTGCGTCGCTGCGCCTAGCCATTATAAAGTGTTTTTACCGTTTATTTTATAATTTATAATTTTAATTTTTCGTCAAAATATAAAATAAATAAAATGACAATGCTTTAATTATTCGACTATTATTTAATTATTTAACTATTTCATCAATTGCCGAATTGACGTTTGTCTTAACCTTTTTATTTACATTTTAATTATTTACCTTTCCACCTTTTTAGTTTTTTATTTATTATTATTTAACAATCAGCCA